ATACCTGAGAAATTAGATTTCAAGGTAAAACTATTCAGAAGAGAGATAAGGAAGGTCACTTCATTCTGATCAAAGGAACAGTTAACCAAGAAGATACTGCAGTCCTTAACATATATGCACTGAACTCTGGTGCACCCAAATTCATAAAAACAACACTACAGGACTTTAAGACACAGAGTAACCCCAACTCAGTAACAGTAAGGGACTTCAATACCCTACTGTCTCCATTAGAAAGGTTACCTGGACAAAGAGTAAACAGAAAGACGTCTGAATTAAATAATACCATACATCAAATGGACCTAACAGACATCTTTCAAATAGTCTACCCAAGCACCAAAGAATATACTTTCTACTCAGCACCCCATGGAACTTTTTGAAAAATTGACCACATACTGGGCCACAAAACAAACCTCAACAAATACAAAAATTTGAAATAACTCCATGCATTCTATCAGACTACAATGCAATAAAGCTCAGAATCAACACTGATCAAAGCCCTAGTCACTACATGAACTTGTGGCAATTGAACAAGACACTCCTAAACAATGAGTGAGTCAAAGAAGAAATTAAGAAAGAAATAAAAGAATTCCTGGAATTCAACAAAAAGGACCATACAACACAACACAACCTCTGGGACACTTTAAAAGCAGTCCTGAGAGGGAAGTTTACAGCTCTAAGTGCCTACATTAAAAAATTAGAAAGAACCCAAATAAATGGCCTAACACTGCGACTAAAGACACTGGAAAGGCAAGAACAAATAAAACCCAAACCCAGCAGAAGAGAAGAAATAACAAATATCAGAGCAGAAATTAATGAAATAGAAACAAAGAAAACAATACAAAGAATAAATCTAAGAGCTGGTTCTTTGAAAAGCTAAACAAGATAGAGAGACTCTTAACCCAGTTAACCAAAAGAAAGAAAGCAAATCAAAATCAACAAAATCAGAGATGAAAGGGGAAACATCACGACAGACACCCAAAAGATCCAGACCATTATAAGGGAGTATTTTAAAAATCTATATGCTACTAAATTTGAAAATCTAAAAGAAAAGGATAGATATCTGAAATCATGGGGACCACCAAAGTTAAACCAAGAAGAGATCAACAGTTTAAACAGACCCATAACATATAAGGAAATTGAAACAGTAATACAAAGCTTCCCAACAAAAAAAGCTCGGGCCCAGATGGATTCACAGCAGAATTATAGCAGACATGTAAAGAAGACCTCCAACCAATACTACTTAAATTATTCAAAATGATAGAAACAGAGGGAGCACTCCCAAATTCCTTCTATGAAGCCAGCATCACTAATACCCACACCAGGTAGACACAACCAAAAAAGAAAACTATAGACCCATATCCTT